TATATAACATATTTATTAAAAAAATTAATTTTTAGTTTATTAATTATTTAATAAAATATATTTAATATTAAAATTAATATTAATATTAATTTTTATATTTATATATTTACTATAAAAAATATTTTTAATTTATATTCTACATACATATATTAAAAAAATTTTAATTTTAAATGCACGTGATTATATTTAATTTTTAATGAATCCTTGCTTACAATTGTGGGTAATTGTGATTATTATTAAAAAACAGCAGAAGGCTGACAGGCAGCAGGGAGGAGTACGAGTAAGGTGAGAAAAGGGAAATCATGGCCTCATGGGGTTCTTTGTTAAGGAAGTCACAGAAACTGTTGAAATTGACCTATTCTAGGAAAGAATAAAAATCAGGGCAAATCTTTTTAATGACTCCAATTCCCGATAATACCCCTGCACTCCCGACTCCGACCAATCATGTAGCAATGACCGTGACACTTCAAGGGCACTCCGGACATTGTCTGAAGATGTCTCAGAACTTTGCCGGAGCTCCGACATGCTTGCCGCTCGTTTCATTATTATTTAGTCCAGATATAATGAAAAGATTTTGTTGTTTTATCTCATAATTATTCTAAATTGTAGAATATAAATTTTTAAGTAAAAAACCGACATTAAAGATATAATTAATATTTTATAATTCAAATTAACTTCAAACCTTAAACAGTTTTTCTTGATAAAAGTCATTCATTGGTAAAACCCAATTTTCAAAGCTTGTACTCCTAGTCCTAGCTTCCTCGGATTTAGAAGGGTATTATGGTCAACTTACTTGCGTCGAAGAGGAGAACAAACTGTTCGACGTTTTTCGGCATGGTTGCGGTGGCGACTTCCAGAGTGAAAACCAGCAAACGAGTAAACCTGAAATTACAAGAAAATTTTTCTCATATTTTTTCTAATTCTTTTTCCTTATTTAATATTAAAAGAAAAGGAAAGTAGAATAACATCTTACTTACTGTTTCTGAGAGTGAAATTTCTGGTAATCTTGCTTAATCCTGAAAATCTGTGGAAGAAGAAAAAAAAAATCTTCATTTCTTGAGCTTTTGCACTCAGTTTTTCTATTGAAGAGAAGGGGGAATTTTACCAGAACAGGTCGGGACTCATCGTCGTGGCCGGCGACATAAGCAACTCCCTCTGCCAGCTCGGCGGAGAACTCATCAGCTATCAAATTCTCTGTTTTTCAAAACCACAAAGACTAAAAAACCCAGAAAAAGAAGACGAAACTTTTTCGTTGTTTGTACTTTGAATAAGTGGCTTTAATGATTATTAGGTAGGGGGTATATACTTTAAGATTTAATTCAAAATGAAAAGCAAGATTCCAGTACAGTGAATTATGGAATAATTAAACAAAAAGCAAGCATGATGGGTCTAAAAAGAACTAGAAAAACAGAGCAAAACTTTCTGCAGAAGGAGAAGAAGCAAGGGTAGTATTATGAAGGTACCTGAGCCTATGCTCTCTCTCCAGGAAAGACAAGATCTTAGACACTTGGCAGCCTTCTTCACGTTATCTCCTTTGGCCTTCAAAAACCTCTCAACACATGCATTGTTGCAGAATTTCTCCTGTTCAACGGTATTCAAAACGGAGTCATCAGACACAGAAAAAGGGAACCCAGAAACCAAGATCCTAAACTAAACCAGGTGGGATTTTTCTCTCTTAACAAAAGGGACACAGAAAAACAGAACATGGTGAAGAACTTGAGAAAAAAAAAAACTCATATTTCAGGGGGCAGAAAACAGAGAGATCTTGAAACTAAAGAAAAAGCCCACCTGTTTCAATGTTAAAGGACTCTGTTTCCTCAAGAGCTCAAGAACAGCTTCAACTCTCTGATTTGCTTTCTGGGTACTCTGTTCTTTCTTACCCATTTCGAATAAAACAAAAAGGAACCCAAGAAACTGTGAGAACTCTGGTGATATTTTCTCTAGAAAGAGACAGACCAATATACCAAACTTCCTCTTCACGCAACGCTTAAATTCTTTTTCTGTGCACGCAAACGCATAGAAAAACAGAGCGAGATTGTGAGTATAAAGAGTGGGAAACAAAGAGAAAGTTCAAATGAGGAAACTTTGAATAAAGAGAGAGGGGAGGAGAGGGTGCTATATATAGCCAAGTGACGGCGAATAACGCCGTTATTCAGCAGTCAGAGAGACTTATGGTGGGGATGGTGTTTTTAAACGGGAAACGTGGGCTGAGGCTGAGGAAGAAACAATAAGACATGAAACGTTATGAGCATAATGGCACAGTAGGTGTTACCATTTTGCGTCGGCTTTTTAATAGGATAGCTTTGCTTTTTCAGTAAGGAGGAATCATTGTTCGCAAACTTATTTAAGTTAAATGTACTATATATATAACATATTTATTAAAAAAATTAATTTTTAATTAAAAATTAAAAATAAATAAATTTAAAAATAAAATTATATATACATAATGATAAAATTAAATAAATAAATTATATTTATATTATATTTTAATAATTAAATTAAAATAAATTTTAAAAAGTATATTAAACTAAATATATATTAAATCAATTTTCTTATTATTCTTTTTCATAGGGAAATTAATTTTGGGTTTTGGAAGGTAGGTAATTTCAAGGACTATGTGTCACACGAAGAATTGTTATAGTTACATAAGAAATTGTAACTGTGTTGTATTTATTTGATCTTATTAATTTATATCTACTATCACCTAACAATTACAACCATTAATTAATCCTAACAACCAAATCAAATACATTTATATTATTTTTTGTGGCAATAACCATGGCCAATTTCAGTTACCTGCAATTGCATCAATGAGGTGCGGTTCGTTGCACCAGTGCCTTAATGGCCACTACTAAAATTCCAACCTTCAGCAACATGTCTTATATTGCTGAAAGTGCTTGCACCGTTACTAAAAATGCTTGCAATGAAGGTAAAAGACTTTTAACAACATAGTTTTTGTTGTTGAAAGTTTTGTTGGAAAACCCTTGTTGGCCGATACATTAGCAACAAAATTAGCAACATACCTTTTGTTGCTAAAAAAACACTTTTAGCAACGTGATTTATATTGGTAATATTCTTACCGGATTTCGGTGACCGATGGTGGAGTTTATTCAACCATTTTCAATAACAAAAGCCACATTGTTGAAACTATATTTTCAACAACGTGGCTCATGTTGCTGAAAATTTAGGAGAAATGGTGGTTTTCAAAAGGTGGTTTTTCTTTTCCATTTTTAACAACAAGAGTCACGTTACTGAAAGTTCAAAAATAGTACATTCCCTAGTTTTTAGCAACGTATGTCTTGTTACTAATATTTATTTGCATACTTCCTTGATATTAATTAACTACTTAATAAATTTTAGTTTAATTAATGTAAATTAAATAACATCAATTAATTAATGTCTTATTATGTATTTTACCAAACTTGAATTTTATTTTATTAAGAATTACATACAAAACAAATAAAATAACAAAATTATTATTACTAAAGATAATTACTTATAAATATATTAACTTCCAAATAAATTAATATCTACTTAATAATGTAATATTTACAAAAATATGATTTAAATATACTTAAAGAGATCTGATGGAAAATTTTCAATTATTAATATATATACATATGGATAACATGTGCTAATTAATAGAGGGAAAAAAAAAAAAAAAGAAGTTGAGAGGCGTAGCAGAGGATGTTGTAGTAGGTCGGGGGATTTGCAGTAGGCCGAAGGAATTGCAGCAGGCCAGGGGAATTGCAACAGGCCACGCGAGGAGAAGGAAGGCATGCGGAAGGAGAAATATTGCAGAATTCATAGAGAAGGGATTGGGGTATATAAATAACTTTCAGCAACACAACCTTTGTTGCTGAAAGTTTACTCTCTATTAGCAACCTATACCATGTTGCTAAAACTCATTCGAATTTGAATTCTTTTACTCATCATTGACATGCATTATGTTGCTAAAATTAAAAATTAAAAAAACTCCCGCCACACTATCAAATGATTAAAATTTTTAGCAACATAGTTCTTGTTGCTGAAAGTAACTTTCAGCAATAAGAGACATGTTGCTGAAAATGAAATCCTTATTTGGGGAGAAAAGTGCGGTGGAGGGCTACCGAAAAATATTAGCAACATGGGATATATGTTGCTGATATTTACTTTCAGCAACATACCCCTTGTTGCTGAAAGTGGAGGGGAGAATTGTATTGCATAGCTTTCAGCAACCAAAACTTTGTCAGTGATATAATTTTTTAGCAAGAAAGGATTCCATGTTGCTGTTATTTGTTGCTAAAAGTCAAAATTTTAGTAGTAGGCAACCCACACTATTGTGAAAGGTCGAAAGGAGTGATGATATTGTTACACCCTCAATTACTGATATTAAATTTTTTTATTTTAATTGATTATTATATCTTTTAATTTATTAAGAAACAAAAAAATATATATATATTTTTTAAAAAATAAATATAAAAATATAATAAATAATTATATTAAAAAATATGATATTAACTATTTAAAGTATGACAATATCTCCACTCAATTAGAAGGTTGCGAAGTATAATTGATCATTGTATAAGAGAAATATTGACACATTTCAATTGAGGTCAGTGAAAGGTCAGAAAAACATATTTGAGATATGTGTTTCGTAGTTGCAAAAAATATATATACAAACTACTAGATTGATGGGTTTGTCTTTTACATTCAAGGCTCATTCCTCTAATAGATTATATATATATAGTATCAATCTATCAAATTACATAATATTTTTTCGTATTTTATTTATACTTATAACTATTATTGAGAAATTACCTTTGAAACGCCTCTAACCTCTTTTGTTTTCGTCTCTGCATACGGAAATCAAGTTCACATAATCAAAGACCTCATCAGAAGGACATCATACCCATATATAACCAAAGTAAACAATATACAATGCAAATTTTGACACGGTTCACTTCACATTAATGAACTGCGCACTCTTGTAATACCTACATTTAGAAAGTTTGTTACATTGTCAATATCAAAATGTTGGAATCGTTGAAATAAATTAAAGGTTAAAACCCCTTTTTGGTCCCTGAACTATTGTACGGACCCCCGATTTGGTCCCTAAACTAAAAAAATCCCTAACTTGGTCCCTATTGTTTACCATTTTTACCCCGATTTGGTCATTTCATTAAAAATCGTCTGTTGACTCACAGATATATCAAAAATTTAAGCCACGTCAGTTGTACACCTGAATAAATGATGACATGGTCATACCCAACACAAAAACAAAAGTGGGGCCCACCAAATTACAATTTTGCATCATCTTCTTCCTCCAGCATCTTCTT